ATACACTATATTACCAAAAGTATTCGCTCAGTCATTCAAGTGATCAGAATCAGGTGTCCTAATCCCTTGGCCTGGCCACAGGTGTATAAAATCAAGCACTCAGGCATGCAGACTGTGAAACAAGACATTTGTGAAAGAATGGGCCGCTCTCAGGAGCTCAGTGAATTCCAGCGTGGAACTGTCATAGGATGCCACCTGTGCAACGAATCCAGTCGTGAAATTTCCTCGCACCTAAATATTCCACAGTCAACTGTCAGCTCTATTATAACAAAATGCAAGCGTTTGGGAACAACAGCAACTCAGCCACGAAGTGGTAGGCCACGTAAAGTGACGGAGAGGGGTCAGCGGATGCTGAAGCCCCTAGTGCAAAGAGGTCGCCGACTTTCTGCACAGTCAACTGCTACAGAGCTACAAACTTCGTGTGACCTTCAGATTAGCCCAAGTACAGTACGCAGAGAGCTTCATGGAATGGGTTTCCATGGCCGAGCAGCTGCAGCCAAGCCACACATCACCAAGTGCAATGCAAAGCGTTGGATGCAATGGTGTAAAGCACGCCGCCACTGGCCTCTAGAGCAGTGGAGACGCGTTCTCTGGAGTGATGAATCACGCTTTTCCATCTGGCAATCTGATGGACGAGTCTGGGTTTGGAGGTTGCCAGGAGAACGGTACATTTCAGACTGCATTGTGCCGACTGTGAAATTTGGTGGAGGAGGAATTATGGTGTGGGGTTGTTTTTCAGGAGCTGGGCTTGGCCCCTTAGTTCCAGTGAAAGGAACTTTGAATGCTTCAGGATACCAAAACATTTTGGACAATTCCATGCTCCCAACCTTGTGGGAACAGTTTGGAGCGGGCCCCTTCCTCTTCCAACATGACTGTGCACCAGTGCACAAAGCAAGGTCCATAAAGACATGGATGACAGAGTCTGGTGTGGATGAACTTGACTGGCCTGCACAGAGTCCTGACCTGAACCCGATAGAACACCTTTGGGATGAATTAGAGCGGAGACTGAGAGCCAGGCCTTCTCGACCAACATCAGTGTGTGACCTCACCAATGCGCTTTTGGAAGAATGGTCAAAAATTCCTATAAACACTCTACTCAACCTTGTGGACAGTCTTCCCAGAAGAGTTGAAGCTGTAATAGCTGCAAAAGGTGGACCGACATCATATTGAACTCTGGGTTAGGAATGGGATGGCACTTCAGTTCATAGTAGGAGTCAAGGCAGGTGAGCCAATACTTTTGGTAATACAGTGTATTTAGTTACTATAGAAACGCTGGACGCTCACAGACGTTGTCGGACTTTTCTGTAGCGTTTTGTTGAGTTTGAGTGGGTTACGTTGTGTTTGTGTTCAGACGTCAGCAGAGCTGAGAGAGCAGATGCAGAACAAAGAGAAGGAACACGAAGAAGCTGTGCATACTATGAGAGAGCAGGTAATGAACAAACACACACATATACATACATACATACATACATAAAAGGTAGGCAAAGTCCAAGTTAGAAAGTCTTGCAGGTTGCAGTTTTCCACCTGTTATATTAAAGTCTTGTGTTTTCATGTTCATTCTGTCAGGAAGAAACACAGATTTTATTCTAGTCACACTGTGACACACAGTCTCCCACTTCCTCTTTTTTTTTCACTCGTCCTTCCCCCCCTCTCTCTTACTCACACCGGTTTGGTTCTGTTGGGTTGTTTCTGTTAATCTGTCCTTGCTGTCCCTGTGCTGCTTCTTCTCGTCCCTCCACTGGTCCGTCCCGTGGCTGGCCGGCACTACAGGTAGCCAGTCAGAGTGCAGTCAGTCAGGAGCAGGTGGATATCATCCTGCAGGAGAACGATGCTCTAAGGACCAACCTAGCAGCTCTAGAACAGGTAACACAGCTGCAGAACGACCAATAGAGGGTGCTGTCTACACAGGTGACAGCATTACGGAAGATCCATCAGTGTTAGAAATTACACTGTGGAAAGCCCATGTTTATACACAGTACAGGGAAGTTTCATTAATATACATCTGTGATGTAATGTAATGTCCACCTTAATGATGCTTTAAAGAACTTTAACGTCATTCCAAAATAAATGTATCGGCGTTATATCCATGATATATTTTGCATCCTAGATGAAAAAAAAAAAACTACACTACTTTAACTCTTAATACAATATCACACCTACTTTAGAGAATATTCTGTAGATACTTGGGTATTTCCAGAACCAAAGACATGGAGTAGTACACCCAACAGTGAACACATCATCAACTTTAACATGTTTTTTTTTCCCTAGGATCTTCGTTCTCCCACTAACATCGATCTTGTTGCTTCTTTCTCAAGTCGTCACACACTTGTTTAAACGTTTCCACTTTCGAAAGTCCACTGTCTTCCGTTCCTTCCTACCTTGCATGTTGGATTTACACTTGCATCACGTGATGGTCATATGAAGTTCATTAAACAACAGAACAGAACCGAGCAGACAGAGAAATCATTTGTACCTTCTTGGTGTATTCAGATCCAGACAGTTAAAACGCAAGAGATGAATCTGCTGCGTGAACAGCAAGAGACGCTGACGTGTGACCTGCAGCAAGTACGAGTTGAGCAGGAGAGGCTGTTGGCTCAAAGGGATGACCTTAACTCACAGCTGCAGGTGAGATACACGAGCTCACTGAAATACATAAATATAAATTTATTTTATTTTTTCTAAAATAAAAAAAAAAAACAAATTCACGATACGATTTTTATCCCAATTGTTTGGAAACAAAATGGGCTACAAACAAATTATGACCAAATATAATGATTAATGATTTATTTATATAAGAACTATGCAAAACACCATTACCTGCTGAAATGGTCTTGTGTACCTCATAAACTTGAAATTAAATATTATTTTAAGTAACAATAATTAATACATAAGATGCAAATTTCTTTACAGAAACACTGCACGTCTCCATTTATCTCCTTTTGATAAAAAAAAATCTCCTTTTAAAAAAGTATTGTCTTATTTACCTTGCTAACTGTCAATGGATTTAACACCACAAAAATACGAGACAAAATTAAACAAAAAAAAAAATAGGTCCTTTCTTTACAGAAACACATTTAAACACAAATTTAAATAATCCACTGATTTTAAGAAGACAGCTCTTAAATAATGCAAAAAAACAAAAAAAACAAAAAAAAAACTAAAATTGAGTAAATAAAAACATAGATATTTGATATCAATGAGTTGTCAATGGATTTAACAACACAAAAATATAAGACAAAATTAAACAAAAAATAGGTCCTTTCTTTACAGAAACACATTAAACCCTGTTTGTGTCCTCTTGACGCTGAAATAAGTATAAATCTTAAATAACAAAAAGATTAAGTGTTGTCACAATGTGACGTCTTGATTTAATAGTGGGGTCACTCACACGCATACTGCCACCTACTGTGCTGGATTGTGTACTTTTAGTGACTTTTCGAGATAACGCTTTTTACAATGGATATAACGCTCTTTACAATGCATTGCAATTCTTTTTCTTCTTTAAATAAATTCATTTGAATTTATTTTTGATCGATTCCAAATCCATCGTTACATCCCTAGTTTTTGTTTATTTTTAATAAAAGAACTGTTGTCCTGGAGCTGATCGATGAAATGTCCTGTGTTAGGAGTCAAGCTTTGCCAACAGGAAGTTGTTGGAACAGTTGACAGAAGAAGGACAAGAAAAGGACAAACTACTGAGGGAAATGGAGGAAGTCAAGAAGGTACAGACAGACAGACAGACAGACAGACCCAGACTGTAACCAAGACGTCAATCAATATTTCCAATATTTTTAAACTTTCAAAGACACAGTGACCTGGAATGGGATTGAAGTGTGTTTGTGTGTGTGTGTTTTTGTGTGTGTAGACTGCAGAGAAAAGGAAGACCATGCTGGATGATATGGCCATGCAGTTAAACCAAGAGATGTCGGTCCACAAAGAGGCACTGTCAGACCTAAAACTGCAGCATGAAAAGGAGGTGTGGTATGGGAAGGAGCCCCGAGGAAGCTGAATCAGCACCTTTTGTCTCACCTGTCTCCATTTACTATATTCTAAAATAGTTCTCTTGTTGAGTCTTTTAACTCTTTAAAATGCATGCTTTCAATCAAAAAACCTCCCCCCCCCCCCCCCCCCCCCCCTGCTGCTCTTAGGTTCTAGGTGTGAGGGCTCGATATGAAAAGGAGCTCCGAGGTCTCCACGAGGAGAAGAGTCGCTCTGAAGAGGAGATCAGACAACAGCTGAGAGAAGAGAAGGTGAGAGGGGAAACAACTAAGTTAGAAGTAAGAGGAGGCTGTCTTATTTGCTTATTTATTTATTATTATTATTATTATTATTATTATTATTATTATTATTTATTTAAGGTCACCGAGGAAGCCAAACAACGTATGCTGACATGTCCGTTGACTGTGTTTGTGTCTGTGTCAAGGCTCGCTCCAAAGAGCTGGAGTGTCTCCAGCCCAGGGTGGACGAATTGAAGACTCAGCTTCAGTCAATGGAAGGAACCAGGGGTTGGTTTGAGCGACGCTTGAAGGAGGCCGAGGTCAGTGTGGTCGCACAGATTCAGCCGTGCGATTTAACTTTTTTTTTTTTTTTTTTTTTTTTTTTTGTCAAATCCAAAGACAATCACACTCCCATGAAGCTCCACACTGGGTATAAAGAATTAATTCTATGAGAAAATAGTAAAGATACTATTTACTACAAATACAACTACAACTATAAAGTAAACAATTAAAAACATTTATATTAATGATGCCTATGAAGAGAGGTAGAGAACAATGTTTTCGCGGCTTTTCCAGAAAACCAGAAAACCAATGTCCGTTTGTACCATGCAGTCTATGATGTCCAAAAGTGTTACCGACCACAGTTGTCATTTTCTCCGTGTGTTTAGGAGAACTTGGAGAAAAAGTTACTTGATCATCAGGAGGAGATCAAACGTCTGCAGACTGAACACTCACTTCAACTGCAGGTATACATGCCCTGAATTCAGATGTGTAGCGTAGTGTTTGCCCTCAATTAAGATTTTTTTTTTTTTTTTTTTTTAACCAGTATCTTTTCATCTGTTTACATTGTGGAAATCGATAGACGAACCACAAGTAATACGTCAGTTAGCTTGATTTTGCTAAGAATCATGGGATATACCAATGCTGCTGTTCCAAATGGCAGCTTATCATGGAATTCGTGTACGAGTGTGTGTGTGTGTTAGACCAGAACAGGAATTCCCTGGACTAATATCCTGCTTTTGTCCCAGGAATTAGTCCAACTAGACAGGCGTTAATTAGAACCAGGGAATTGGAGGATAATTAGCTCCACATTTTAAAAAGAAATAAGTTTGACTGAATGTGAATGAATTTGGGTATCTAACCTCCTTAATTCCACTACAGTTTTTCAGCTTCTTCCTAATGGGAGTATGGATCCTAAAAAATTAAATTTTTTTTTTCATCTTTAAGGAAAAACAGTCACAGTTGGAGACAGTGAATCAGCAGCTAACGGGGGAGCAAAGGCAGCGGCACGAGGACGGTGAAGTCATCGTCAAACTCAAACAGGTAATAGTCAGGGAGATGACTCAGCGAGGCCCGCCCTTTTGTTCAATCTGTCAATCAGGCTTCGCCCCAAACCAACAATCACTGTGCATCTTGCAGGAAATCAAAGACACGTTGGACGGACAGAGGATTCTGGAAAAGAAGGGCAGTGCAGCCGTGAGTTCACCGACTGACGAAGGAAAACGGCGTCGACATTTTTAGCAGACGGTTGGAAAATAATTTAAAATCACCGTAGGAATGTACAGTGATAGACTGGTGTGGGTGTCTGTGTCTGTCAGCGGAAGGATCTGAAGCGGCAGCTGCATCTGGAGAGGAAGCGGGCGGACAAACTTCAGGAGAGGCTCCAGGAGATTCTGACCAATAGCAAAACTAGAACAGGTGATGTCACTGTTGTAATGTTCCACATCATCATCATCATCTTCAACAGCTTTGTACAAATAATTATTATTATTATCATCGGTAGAAGCAGCAGTATTATTATAATGTTAGGTCATTTAAGAGAAAAAAAAAAAAAAACTTTGTCAGAGATGTATGGAAATGTCAACGGTCAGACAAGAGGACAGGGAACAATTTTGAGAAAATATGTGTGTGCGCACGTCAGGAGATTCAGTGATTTTTCAGTGTAGAAAATCCTGCTCAATATTTAATGCAGTGAGGTGGACACACTGGCGTCTGCAAACACATACACAATGCGTCGTCATCCATAATCTATGAAGAGTGATGAAAATTTCAGGGACCTTTGCTGCACAAAATCTAAGAATCAGACATTTTAAATGAGCCCAGCGACTGTGTGATTTAAAGAGACAGACGCTGTCTTAGAGGGGAAAAGGTGCTCTCAGACACACAGACTTTGCAGACTGCAATGGTGGGGCGCTACATATAATAACAAATGCGATCCTAATCTGTCTCTTAGGTCTGGAGGAACTGGTCCTGTCGGAGATCAACAGTCCAAGCAGGACTCAGCAAACTGGAGATTCCTCCTCTGTCTCCTCCTTCTCGTACAGAGACATAATAAAGGAGGCTCAGCCCACCATTCAGAACAAGGTGAGCATTAAAGGGCTTTGATGACATCATTGCAGCACATTTTTTGACTATTTTGTGGTCTTTAAAGTTCCCCTTTTTTGAAATCCGGTTGTAAAAAGCACATCTGCAATGGCAATAACATGTTTTCATAACCGCGATAGAACAATAACGTGCTGCTCCCTGATCACGTCCTCTGTCCGGAAATCCGGTTGTAAAAAGCACATCTGCGTCCTCTGTCCACCAGTCAGGAGCAGGCAGTCCTCAGTCTCAGCGTCCAGCTGAACTGTCAGACGATGAGGTTGGAGAGCTGTTCCAGCGTCTGGCTGAGGTTCAGCGGGAGAAGTGGATGTTGGAGGAGAAGGTTAGGTAGATGTCACCACGATGAGCGTAAGGAGAGAAGTGTCTTGAGCCTGAACGCGATCTTCCCTCTCTCTCGTCAGGTAAAACACCTAGAAGTGAGTTGCTCCTCCATGGCGGAAGACATCTGCCGGAAGAGTGCCATCATTGAGACGTATGTGATGGACAGTCGCAGAGGTAACAACCAAAATGGGAGCAGCGGTAGAGAGATTATTGCCAATTGTACTTCATTCAGTTTTTACTCTTGTTGTCTGTGTCTTCATGCCTTCTCTTTCCTTGGGCCTCTTGTCCTCCTAAACTCAGATGTCTCCGGGGGCGCCATTGGGGGTCATGGCAGTTCTCAGGGTCTGGGTTCTGTCCTCAGGGATCTGGTGAAACCCGGTGATGAGAACGTGAGGGAGATGAACAAGAAGCTGCAGCACATGTTAGAGGAGCAACTCACCAAGAACATGCACCTGCAGAAGGTAACACTCCGACAATAAACATTGTCAATTTATCCTCTGAAAACTGAAACTGAAAACTAAAGGAGCAATGGAAGTATAGTCAATATTTGTTGCGTAAATATTATAGTCACTCCAGATATACGGTACAATACAACAGTCTAAGTACTGTCAAAACTTAAAATTATAATATCTAGCAGTAGATATTAAATAATATGTATGCCTTCTCTGCTGGCCTACAGTTTCAGAATTAGGAACTATATATTTACAATAGCAATATTAACAATATATTTATCATGAAATTAGAACAAAATAATACGATGATAATGATTCTGATGCATTCTCACGCTTGGTTGCATTGCTTCCAGTTGCATACTCTTTTTTTTTTTTTTTTTTTTTAATCCAATCATATTTCAGCGTCATGTGTTGCCAGGTTGAAAGAAGTCACACTTCAGACCTTTATTTAGAATCAGCAGTGTGCCTGTGCTAGGAGTCTAAAATGAATGGCAATGACATTTGACTTTAAACAATCTGATTTTGGTTTGCATCAAAGTGCCAAGGCCTTCTGGCCGGTCCAGAGTTGCATTGATGATTTGAGCGATTTGATTGGACGGTCAGAGAAGGCGCCTCTTGAATCTAGGAAACCGCATGTAGCGACTCTCTCTCTTGAAAATGACGTTTACTGTGCTGTCGCTGCCCCCGGACATTCTGAGCCTGAAGTGATCTAAAAACGTATACAATAATACCGTAAATACTACAGGACAGACTGGACTTTTAGCATTAGCATGGATGGCGATAGAAAAGAGACTGCAAATAATCTGTACAGCAGAGTAGTTGAACTCATCTTAAGGAAAGAGAGGAGGCTGTATTTTGTGTCGGACGTTTTAGTGAGTAAATTGCATTTAGTCTTTTTTAATAGTATCGTAATAATATTATTAAATAATATTAAAATAATATTCTGGCTAATATGCTAGCATCTCAACCTGTTCCTACGGTTAGAGAGCACCCATTACTGCATCCATGAAAAGTGAACTACAACTCACCACTGCACATGCAACGAAAAGGGGACAGTGCCATGCTCAGAGCACCTCAGTGGTAACTTGGCAGCCGGTGGACTCGAACCTCAAGCCTTCCTGACCCAAGTCCGCTTCCATAACACACTAAGCCACCACTGTCCCAAATCACCCATTTCGTTGTACCCCCGTGGTACAATGACAATAAAGTGCCCTATACATGTGCCTCCTAACTAGAAACACTCATCTGATTTATATTTCATTAATAATCCGGACCGTATCTCTTTGTCTCTCCAGGACCTAGAGGTTCTGTCCCAGGAATTAGTCCGTCTAAGTAAAGACAGCAGGGCGGCAGAATCATGAAATAAACCGACGTCCGGATTCAACACTCGCCCATTTCCTCAGTTGGACACGGGAGTGATGCCTACGACATTTCAGTCTGTCAACTGGCTTGGGACTTAAGTGCTGAAATGAATGTCGATAAACAACAGTAGGAATGTAAAACATGACTTTATGTTGGTGTCCAGTGTACTGTAATTAGACACCAGTCCGTTGCCTGGCTTTGACCTTAAAAAAACAAAAAAAAAAAAAACAACCGCATTTTAACTGACTGCAAATGTACATGTTTTGTGAGCGTGTGTTCGTGTGTCAGGCACTGGCAATGATCTTAAACATGCCATTCATTCAAATGGTTTCCTAAGGTTCCAGTTTTGTTATTTCCCTATGGAAACGACATTCTTTCTGTATAAACGTCCGTCCTCCCTGCACTTACCATATGCTAACTGCTCTAATGTGACTGATGCTAGGCTAATTACTTCCTCGGACCAGCACTGAGCACACTAACTCCGGCTAATTCCAAGGTTATTGCTTTTGTAAGGCTAATGGTAGGCTAAACCACTTTTTCGGTATTCGTGCTAAGATGGCTCCTCTGCAAGGTGCGATATAAGGGGCCGCTTATAAATGGCTCATGCTAAGCAATCTANTATGAACTTTTCTGTCCTGCTTGGGTCTAAAACTAAGCTTTATTGTCCGTACAACTTAGACCAGGCTTGGGCAAACTTTTAAGTCGCGTTAACGACATGTTATCATTTTCTGCGCCATCTATTGAGGAAACGTATATAGCGCAAGGAAAGGCAGAAGTATAAATATATTATGAATAAATTATGTTAATAATGTGGAATGAACCCTGTCCCACTCACTGTTTGACTTCTTCTCTGATAAATCCCAGCTGCGAGAATGAATGAATGAAACGGTTAGCTGAGATGTTTTTTTTTTTTTCTTCATTTTATTTATTTTTTTATTTTTTTTTACAAGTGAAAACAAAATAAGAAAAACACAGAATCAGATCAGTCTTAAAATAAATTGGTTTATGTGCGACGCAAAATTAATGCTAAAAGTTCTTATGCTTCTATGAATGGCCATTTCAGGCAGCTGGGAAAAATGATCAACGTGTTAAGTTGCACACAGGCAGAATACAGCACTACCAGAGACTACAGTCAGACAGACACCGCATTATGAATGATCCTGCCACAGTTATTACTACAGTGCAAAACAGACATCGGTCATCTTAATTTTTAACACAAGGCTTTTTCTGTACGGTAGTGAATCAAAGAGTATGAATGGTGACCACAGGGGGCGCTGCTGTGAGACCTAGTCTGACATAAAAAAGCGTTAAACTCCACCTTTGTTTTTTTTGTTTTTTTGGCTCTGTGTGTTTTGATTTACGATTTAACATTTGCAGGGTTTATTCATATAAGCATTCCTTAACTTTCAAATTCTACTTGTTATTCTTCAATTTGAAAACACATTTTTAAAGGTTGTCTCTTTGAAAATTTTAGCTCTTGTTTTTTACTCCAAACGATCCCCCCCCCCCCCCGTTGATTGCTAATTGTTAAGCCCTATTTTAGATTATCTTAAAAACGGCATGTTTCGTTTTCCTTGTTATACTTTTTACCTTTCTAATCCTGACATACTGTATGTCTGCTTTACAAGTACTGTGGTAAATCGGAGTGATTCTGACTATTTCCTGCTGTATTATGAGAGTTGTCACTTTGGTTTTTTTGGCATGACAGTCATAAACTCTGTTATAAGGATCGGGATCTGTACTCTACAGTCAGTCTTTTAAATGAGTCTTTGTTCAGGTGTCTGACTCCAGGATTTGTCCATGATCTGCTTTGTGCCTCTGCGTGTTTATTGACTTTATCATTTTGTCTGTTTGACACTGTATATTTCCAGGATATGATGTAAAAAAAAAAAAAAAGAAAACTAACTGTAAAGAAATATCGTGTGCTTATTTATGACACTGAGGGTGATCAAGACTGAAATTACTGTAACGGTTAAAAATAAAAGATATGTTCTAACCACTGTCCAGGATTTTCCATTTAACTATCAATAATGTGCCTGTGTTTTTGAAAAAAATTTCACAAAATATAAATGACTGCATTACAAACACAATTATAGAGTTGCATAATGGGAATATTAGATATACATGTTACGTACATAAATTAAATACACGAGGTTGCGGAGGTTAGCGCTCAGCTAGCAGGAGGGAGAGCACGTTATTGTAAAGAAAAATAAAGGGTGGTAACTGTCAGATTTTTTTTTGAAAATAAAGAAAATATTGGATTTAAAAAAAAAAAAATCTACCATAAAATACAGTGAGTTTGGAAACAAATCCGCGATATACTAAGAGAGCGAAAGGAGAACCGTGAAATACAGAGGGAACGCTGTACTTCCTTAGCAGTAATTGAGGGTTTATTTTGGAAATCTCCCAGAAAATGAAATCGAATGAATGTATATTATCTCCTACTTGTTGACACATTTGCTTTATTGACACAAATCAATGATATCTTTCAGAGTAAATGAAGGCAAAATAAAAAAAAAACCTAAAACAGAGACAATTGCAAACTGGTGTCGCTAATGCTATCCCTCCTGTTCAAGGGCTTACACAAAGCTAACTATTTTTTGTGGCTAGCAAGCTAAAAATCCATTCAAGCGATCATGTAGATTTTATATATATATATATACATATATATATATAATCTACATGATAATCTATATATTATATATGATTAAGTACTCTGCATTATTATGTCCCTCCTCCTATGCAACAAAGGTACCTGTGGAAGTGGAAAACAAAAATGGATGGATGGACATCCAATAGAGAATCCATGTATTTACAGAACAAACATTTACAGATTGATATACAATTGTGGATTTTTTTTTTGTTTTACATATTTGCAAACCTAGTTACACACACATATTTTGTTCTATACATTTGCAGATGTTTTGCAGTTTTGCTACAATAATGGGACCATGTTTCTAACGGCTTGGACCTAAACCTACGACAGCTTTACACAAGATTTTGAAAGCAACTCTCGACACGATCTGAAAGTCACTGACTCAATGAAAAAAATTGATCATGATAAAAAAAATGATTGTGATTAATCGTGATTAAGTCACAGCTACGCTGTTATTAAATGATTGACAGCCCTATATGTATATATGTATATATACTGTACATATGTACATATATGTATATAAATACATATATATTTTTTAATTCCATTTCTTTTAAGACACAAAAAAACATAGGTATATATACAGACACATATATAAAAATATATATATATACACATAGATACCCACACACAAACACAATATACATATATGCACATATATATACACAAAACTACAGTTACAGCTTCTGAAGTAATCTTTGACATTTATAAGTTAACTTTCCGCAGGTGACAACTCCACTTCTCTCTCTCTCTCTGTCTCTCTTTTTTTTTTTTAATCTTAATGAGCCACATTCCTCTCAGTTTCTTTGTCTGCCAAAGACAGAGGTTACATTTAGGCCCTGCTGACGCACTCAAAGCTAATAAGCAATGAGCTACTTTCTGTCCCACAGAGGAAGACAGATTAGAGAGGTGACCGCCGAAAAGATGGCGAGGTCTGCCTTGACCAGATAGGGCAGGATTGGCTGAGCTAAGGTCTAATTGAAGGTAAAGAAGTTATGGGTTTTAGCGAATTTAATTAAAGGGGGAGTCTCAGAGGTAAACAGAGCTCCCTCCCTGCTCTGCTTATGGTTCCACTGTCTGTTAACTACTAGAAGAACCGCAGTCGCTTTCGTCGAATAAGAACATGTGCTTTGCTTTTTCTTTATTGTGTTACAGTCTTTTAAACTAAAACATTGAGTTGTGAAGTACCGTAATTTCCGGACTATAAGTCAGGTCTTCAGGTCTTTCCAGAGATGCTCAATTACAACGGAGTTGTTGTGAAGCCAATCCTTGGTTTTTTTAGCTGCGTGCTCAGGGTCATTGTCTTGTTGGAAGGTGAACCTTCGGCCCAGTCTGAGGTCCTGAGCACTCTGGAGAAGGTTTTCTTCCAGGATACAGTAAACCCTTGTTTTTCGCGGGGGTTACGTTCCAAAAAGAACCCGTGATAGGCAAAATCCGTGAAGTAGAAATCTTTATTTTTTTTACAATTAAATACTCAGAAAAAGAAGAGAAAGAACGAACAAACCATTTTACAGTCTCAACCATTTGTTTCACAAATAAAGTAAAATAAAAGTACTTTAGAAACGTTTCAACAAATAACTTCTGTAATGTACTGTCAAATAATAATTTTAATCATCAACGTGAACAGAAGGCTTCAAATTGCGGAGATTAGCACCGCCCACCGTGAACGGGAGAAAATTAAAAATGATTATGAAAAAAATACAAATTACCTGGTCTTGTTGCGGGCAGTTGCAACCCTTTTTGAATCCTTATTAAAACTTATTGCTGCTGTCTTCCTTATGTTTTTTTCTTCCTTCTTTATGGAACGAACGGAAGATTCATTAATTCCATAATGCCGACCTACAGCCGCATAGCTTTTACCTTCATTTAGCATGTCCAATAGTTTTACTTTATCACCGATAGACAGCATCTTCCGCTGCCTTTTGGTCCCTACCGCAGGTACTTTTGCCGGTCCAGAGCGTTTTGTCGACATTATGGGGTTTGATAAACTCGAAATTGCAAGAGAATTTGCACGTACGTAATGTCAATTTGGCAAGCTGTTTTACGTACGTGTACATATTAAACCGCAACGTTATTGGCGCACAGGTAGAGAAGAAGCGGAGTGACTTTTTAGCCAATCAGAATGCAGAACACAATGCACGATGCAAATCCGTGAAGTAGCGAAACCGTGAAAAGTAAACCGCGTTATAGCAAGGGATCACTGTATCTCCGTACTTGGCCGCGTTCATCTTTCCCTCGATTGTAACCAGAGGCCCCCAACCCCCCATGCTTAACTTTTGGGACTGTATTGGACAGGTGATGAGCAGTGCCTGGTTTTTCTCCACACATATCTTAAAATCAAGGTTTCATCAGACCAGAGAATCTTACGTCTCACTATCTTGGAGTCCTTCAGGTTTTTTTTTTTTAGCAAACTCCATGTGGGCTTTCATGTGTCTTGCACCGAGGAGAGGCTTTCGTCGGGCCACTCTGTCATAAAGCCCCGACTGGTGGAGGGCTACAGTGATGGTTGACTTTCTAACAACTTTCTCCCATCTCCTGACCAGTGTCCAGTGATCTTTGGGTTCTTCTTTACCTC